ACTCAATGAAGTTCTGTTTGTTACTGTTATTTATTTTGATGATTAAATTGACCTAGATTTGGCTAGGGAAACAAGGAATTTCTGTGTCTTTTTTGACAAGTCCCTATCATTCTTTGATCACTTCTTTCTGGCACAATCACCCCTCAAAATGGTCCAGGTTCAACTTGTATTTCTCCTGCCCTAGCCCTGGAATCAGCCATTTTTTCAATTGACGTGGTAAATAGAAACCAAGATCTGGGCACTAGATGTGATCTTTGCTATTGGGGTATTGCTACCCCCATTTCCTCCTGGTAGACAGTACGAGGATGTGTATGTGTCCCTTTACATTTACATTTATTTCTATATCTATCTGGATGTGTTTGTAAACCATGAATTTGGACTGATAGCTCCAATTCAAATACAATATCACGGGAGCCATTCTGTCTTTGCCCGTTCCTATATTCATGTCTTCCTTTTCTGTCGGTGAAAGACTTGATTCCTATTGTCCTTAGTGTATTTATTTATTTGATTAATCCCTTGTATGTAGCCCATCTCTTGTCCCAACCAGCAACCTGCTCTAACATTGTTCTTGCACGGACCACCATTATTGGTTGTTGGTGGGCTGCCCCTGCAATCTCATTCCAGTGATGTTCCTACAAATGCTGTTATTACCAGCCACTGTCCAGCTATCTCTGTTTGTACTGTAAGATACTTTGTAAACTCTGTAAACTCTGAGGATGGTACTTACATTTAGTATTTTCTTTCACTTTTCAACTTGAATTTGCAGTTCATTTGCTTTTGGTTCTTGAGAAGCATTAGATAGCTACTATAGCTTAGTCGCTTACTGTTCTTGTCTAATGATAGTGTATATTTACTTTGAAGGGATGATGGGGAGAGAAACAACCCAGAGAATATTGAAACAAAGCAGAGATAAGAAAGGGAGAAAAAAGATAGCTAAAAGGTATCGTATGGAATGAGTGCTGTTAAAACTCTTTCCCCTGGTTTAACACAGCCTTTACTCTGCCATGGTAAGGAAACAATGCATTTTGCTTAGAAAACTGCTTAAAGCAGTGGTTTTTACTGATTCAAAGTCCTTTTCACTAGCCCCTTCTCTTTTTGCCTTCCAGGGTTCCTGTTAACTTTATATGTTTTCCCAGTTTTTCAGGCACTGTTTCTACTTTGACTACTGGCCTCCAGGCCCATATTTCCGGCTGCCTACTGATCTTTCTCAGGGTGCTCCCTGGGCACTTCAGTTCCAACATTTTCACCTTCTTCCCAAATTAATTCCTCTTCTCACATTTCCTGTCAGATTAATGGTTCTACCAACTCTTCATTCACTTCATTCTTCCCCTTTCTCCTTTCTCTTCCCAATCAAGTCTAACTTATTACCACGTCCTTTTCATATGCCTTCATAAATACTTCTCCAGCCCACTCCCTCTTCTCCATCTTTGAGTTTCTGACATTTTCAGTATGTCAATTAAGTTAACTTCCTTTGGTCTTTTTCTACACCTACATGTTGCACAATGTTTAAAGGAGAAGTATAGGGAACAAGAATGACGCTGGAAGCATCAAAAGAAGATGGAAGGAATACACACAGAGTTGCTGTACCAAAAAGATTTAGTCAACGTTCAGTCATTTCA